TTATGGGTGCATTGAGTCCATTTACATTCAGTGTAATTATTGATAGATGTGAGTTTGTTGCTGTCATTTTGTAGTGGTTTTTTTTTGTGGTGCTGAAGTTTTCTTTGTTCTTCTTACTCTCTTGTGCTGAGTTACTTTTTTTTGTGGATTTTTTTTTCATTTCTTTTGTTTTTGTTACCTACAAATTCTTAAAGACACACTTAGGAATGTATCTCGTTTGTAACCTGGGGACTGCCTGTGCTTGATTTTTGTAATTTATCCAGATTTTCTAGGTGTTCTTGTGGGAAGGCTGGGCTGATGTTAGGCCAAGGGACCCCTGGTATGGCGTGGGAACCCCTCAGGAACCCTGATATCCTTTCAGAGATCTGCAGGTCAAAATTATTTTTATAGTAAGAAAAATCAAACCCATTGCCATCAAGTTGATTGTAACTCTGAGTCATTGTCTGCCTTTTTCACTATGTTGACATTTGCACTGATGTTGCACATGATGTGTAAAGATAACTGGCACCTTAGTATGAATCAAGGTAGTGGCACCAAACTATACTTGTCATGTAATCAGCCAAGATGGTGGTATTAAGATGAAAATAGGGCCTTTAGTTATTTTAGAAACAACAGTTATTAAGATCAGATTAAGTTTCTGAAGGCACTTCAGTTTGGAAAGCTTTACAGAAAACTTAGAAATTCTATTTCTCACTGTCAGTGAATACAATCATTTTCCCCCCTTGGAGAATATGAATACATAAATAACCAACCCATGATTATAAAATGCTTAAAAGATAACTTTGTGTTTTTCATAACATATGCCTTACCAGACTGTTCTTATCCATATTAGTTTCAAGTTTTAATAAATTTCTGTCATATTTAGAGTTAAAGCAATTCAGTTTTGTTCTTGATTGTCCTCTGGTTGATTTTACGTATGATAGTCTTATCCCTGTGACAACATTTAGTTCCTGAAGGCAAGGACTATACTTATTTCACATCATTGACAGTGTCATACTGTCAGGTAGATTCTTGATACTTGCTGTTTAGCTTAAAGGTTGAGATGCAGGAAATTCATTTCCTGTCTATAAGTATTTGTTGAGAATTTACTATGTATAAGGGGCCATGTTAGGCGCCAGTAGAGACAGGCGTTTGTGCATTTTGCTTTTACAGTGAAGAAACTAATGATAAGAATTTAAAATGTGGAGGATATCGAGTCTTATTTTTTGAAAGAATTGTTCCCATGGCGATAGAATTTTTATGAAAGAAACAATTTTTGTTAAAAATCCTACCTCCTCTGCAAATAGATTAGGAAGGTAAAGCGTTTTTTAGTAAAGGAGTTGTAAAGTTGTCTTCCTCGCTGCCTTATGTTGTCAGTCAGAATGATGATTTTAAATAGCCCTGAAAGCAGAATCGATTTTGATTTTACATTTGAACTGATGTTTGCACTGGCAGCCAATGGGTCTGGTAGGTACTGGATTTTACATTAAGAGGTATGAACCTAGGCCAGTCCTTGTTGGTTACCGCAGGGAGCTCAGGAAGAGAGATTAACCTTAAACTCATAAATAGGTGCATTCGACAGCCAGCCTTTCCACCAACCTTAACCCCGTGACCCTTTGCTGTCCAGTCGATTCCGACTTAGCGACCCTATAGGACAGAGTAGAACTGCCCCATAGGGCTTCCAAGGAGCGGCTGGTGGATTCGAACTGCTGGCCTTTTGGTTAGTAGCTGAGCTCTTAAGCACTGCACCACCAGGGCTCCAGTAATCTTACTGGATTAAAAATGATTATTTCTCTGAGTATAAAATGTTTGACAAGGGCACTGAACACTAACTATGCTAAGGTGCTATAGTAAGAACATGTCTTGGTCCTGAGTTTGGCCCTGATAGATTTAAATAAAATACGTAATGAAAATGCTTATCTAAATGTAGAAGTTCATAACATGACATTGTGGGCTGAAAGCATGGGCTCTGCAGACAGGCTGCTTGGCTCTGCCACTTTCTAGCTATGGGATCTTGAGTAAGGTTGCTAGGTTGCTCCCTGTGCTTAGAGCTCATTACCTGCAAAACAGGAACTAATAGAGCTGTTGGCAGGATTAGCTGAGTTGATGCATATAAAATGCCAGGTACGTAAGTGTTTGCTATTATTATTTTTATTTCTGCCAATTAATTAGATCATATTCTAAGATTTGAATAATTAATAGTAGTAGAACTACTTTTTCACCACCTGCCCCATCCATATTCTTGGTTTCCAGGCTGTCTGACCATGTTCTCTGTTGCCGGAGTCTAAGAATTCTGTAATTATGGTGGGTTTCTTTTTTTTTTTTGGGTGTGTGTGTGAAGGTGATATCTGCAGTGGTGAGAGAGATGCATTTCAAGTATGTTTCAGTTTTTGAATATCAATACCTGCTCAGTTGTCTCCTTATATTGCTGCCATTGGCAACAGCCAAGGCATGCCTGTTGCTAATTAATCATTTCTACTGAGAACTTAATTAGTGGATTAATTAGGATCATCATTGAGTAGCAGGCAGCATCATCCTGAGCCAGCTGCAAGTTATTGGCTAGCTCTGGCAAGCCTTTCTGGTCCTGTGAAAACTTAGACTAAGGAGAAAACCTGTTGTGTTTTTCTTTTTCTTTTTTTTGGTCCTCCTTAAAGCTCTGGAAGGTCATCAGTTGTCTGTGATGCAGCTTTATTTATCATACATGCAAAACTAAGGAAACATATTCAGTTACAGTGGATCGATAAGAAAACTGAGATTGGTTAGTGAATTCTTGTGACCGTGCTAAACAAGCTGGGAACATGTTATTTGCAAGTGTCGAAAATTAGACTGTGCATTCTGATTATGACAGAGTATTTTATTTCTCTGCTAAAAGTTACTTTCCTTCTGGCATCATTGTTTTTTGAAATATTTTTTGAAATATTGCCATATTGTTACAGGAGGAAATCAGCACTCCATTTTCGTTCTCTTCACCCCTCAGGAAAATGTGGGAAAATGAGGCAAACGTAGCCTCTTCTTGCCTTATTTTCCTGTAGAAATAGAACTTGAGTTGGGGGTGAGAGGCATGATGAATTTACTCCAAAAACAGTATTTCTGCCAGGCCTTTTGGATAGATTGCAACTTTGCAATAGTTAGATAAAAATAAATGCACCAAAGCCTTCTATTTTATAGAAAAGAGAATTACTTGAATCAAGTTTTTAAGTGAAGACAAAAATCCCCTCCAAAACCCAAACCAGTTGCTGCCCAGTTGATTCAGACTTATGCCGAGCTCATGTGTATCAGAGTAGAACTACTCCATAGAGTTTTCATGGCTGTGACATTTTTGAAGCAGATTGCCAGGCCTTTCTTCCAAGGCATGTCTGGCTAGATTTCAACTGCCAACCTCTCAGTTAGTAGCTGAGTGTTTAACCATATTCTCCACCTAGATAGGCACTATGAAATGGACCTGTACTTCACCTGGGCATATTTGCTTCCTCCTTTGACTATTAGAGGCTTTTAGATGATTTAGGCAAATTGTGAGCTTGGTGAAAGAATCAAGTGAAATATTTTGTATCCAACAGATTTGCTGCTGCTTCCAGGGGAGGTGGAACAGTACATCAGCACCAGTGCTCCTTCTTACATTCCTTCGGTGGACCAGATTCTTACCCCTGAAGTAAAGCCAAGTACTACCACAAACAGAGCTGGCAAACCCATGGAAGAGGTACTACCCAGGAGATTCAATTGGACTTATAACTGCATTGATTTTGTAACTTGTCCTTTCAGAGAAATGCTTCTAGGCCCATGTGCTTTGTATTTTTCTCAGATTTGGGAAAACTTAGAAGTTGCTTAATTGGACCCTCTCATCCATCTCTAGCATGTATCTTTCTTTCTGGACTCATAGAGCAATTATGCTTTTATGTGGAAAGTATTTTTGTTTTATGAGGTGTGCCATGCAGCATGACAGTGCTATCTGGGGACAAAACAATAGAAAGGACGTACAGTTTTTTTACCTCTTTTAATCTGAACTGGCCCTTTTTCTTTGTATTATTGTTTCTAAGGTCCTATAAACCTTTGTATTAATTAAGGTAAGGCCACGCTATTCTGTAACAGAGAATCACAATAATAATTCCATGGCTGAAAGGAGATAGAAATTTATTTCTCTTGTGTAAGCCTGAGGAGAGCATCTGAAGTAAGCAGGTAGCCCTGTTTCCTGGAATCATACAGGGACCCTAGTTCCTTCTCTCTGGATCTCCACTATTCCTTAGGACATTGTCCTCATCTGATGTTTCAAGCCAAGTCACTATCACACTTGGGGGGAAGGGGGATGAGAGCATGGGGGAAACATACTCCCCCAAGATTGAGGACCCATGACCCTTCATTTCTGCCCACATTTCACTGGCAACCACTTACCACTTAGTCACGTGTTCATCTCTAGCCAAATGGGAGCCTGGCAAATGTCATCTAGCCACACGCTTCAAAATCAAGGGAGGATGGAATACCTGCTACACCTTTACTCTCCCAAATGCTTGACTTGAAAGTCATCTTTTGCCATCATTTTGCACCTCTTCTACATACACTGTACAAGTGTGCCCCAACAGAGGCTGCTGGTGGTGTTGGACAGGGACCTTTATCCACCCTCCTTACTCTGAGATAAAGGGGGATAAGGCACAAGAAATTGTTAAAAGCTCTTTATTATTGCTTCCTAATAAAATCCCTAGTGTATTTCTTGGTTATTTAATCATTCAGGTGCTAGTCTTGTCATTTCAAGATATTCTGTTATGGAAGCAATCATTCAATCAGAAGTAAGCAACACATTTGAATTTTAAATTGCCCTTTTCTCATAGAACTTTTGTTCCCTGACATCACAGAGGTACATGTGGGATTCATGCAGACTTATATTAAACCCCCACATTGGTTACCAGATAAACTGGTAGGGGCAGCCACTTTAGATTGTGCTTTTTGGATTATGAATTGTTTTCTCTGAGTAGTAAGAAGCTAAAATAGCGAAGTTATCTCTAGCAGAATCAGATTCTTTTCAAGACTTGTTCTTGTTTTTAGTTGTGACTATACAAGTTATTATGTGGCCCTGGTGGCACAGTGATTAAGCGTTTGGCTGCTAACCAAAGTCGGCAGTTTGAATCTACCAGTTGCTCCTTGGAAACTCTTTGGGGCAGTTCTACTGTGGCCTATAGGGTCGCTATGAGTTGGAATCGACTACATGGCAGTGGGTTTGGTTTTTTGGTTTTATACAAGTTATTGGATCAATGAGTGGTCATGACACCCAGAACCATTATGTCGTTGTTTTTGTTAGGTGCCATCGAGTCGGTTGCAACTCATAGCGACCATGTGTACAACAGAATGAATCACCGCCCAGTCCTGGGCCATCCTCACAGTCATTGCTGTGTTTGAGCCCATTGTTGCAGCCACTGTGTCAATCCCTCTTGTTGAGGGCTTCCTCTTTTTTGCTGACCCTCTACTTTACCAAGCATGATGTCCTTCTCCAGGGACTGGTCTCTCCTGATAACACGTCCCAAGCACGTGAGATAAAGTCTCGCCATCCTGACTTCTAAGGAGCATTCTAGCAGTACTTCTTCCAAGACAGATTTGTTTGTTCTTCTGGCAGACCATGGTATATTCAGTATTCTCTGCAAACACCATAACTCAAATACATCGATTCTTTGTTGGTCTTCCTTATTCATTGTCCAGTTTTCACATGCATATGAGGTGATTGAAAATACCATGGTTTGGGTCAGGTGAACCTTAGTCCTCAAGGTGACATCTTTGCTTTTTAACCCTTTAAAGAGGTCTTTTGCAGCAGATTTGCCCAATCAATACGTCCATGTAATGGTCCAGTAGGACCATTAGAAAAATGGGTATAAAATGGTTTTAGTTGATTGATTAAAAAAAGCTGAATAATTTATGAAATCTTTCAGGAAAATGTGAGTTAAAATCCTGTATGTATCATTATATCTTTAAAAGGAATATAAATTCCTTACCAGAAAATGCAAACATTTTTTATGTTGGCATCAAAATGGTATGAATGATGTTTGAGTTGGCAAACCCACAAGCCATAGATGAATTAATGTTGCTATTTTTGATATCCCTAGCAAAGTGGTTGGGATTTTTATTTCTAACCATTATTTCTTAGATAAACTTTTCAGAACTGTTAAGAATCACAATACTGTACCAACTCTGCCTTGGTTTAATAGTATTAATATTATTTTAAAGTACTCAATTCCAGTAAAAGAACATAATCATCAATTTCCTGCAAATATGTCTTGTAAGAGCCTGTCAAAGGAGTATATGGGGGCTAGAGATGGTAGTTGCTTTCTGTGACTTCAGTCCAAAAGATGAAAATGTATCCTGGATGCCCTGACTTCCTCTTAATTGCCCACTGAGAGTACATCAACTTTCTTATACAAATTGGACCAATCTGATTTTTTTTCTAATTTGATTGTTGGTTTTATATATGTGTATTTTTCCTTTAGAGTCAAACATTTTTCAAGAAATTCCACTTTCTATTTGTGAATAACTTCTTGCTTTGGTTACTCTGTTTTGGCGAATTTTGGAGGTTTTTGAACAGCTTCATAGCAAAAAGTTCATGATTAGGAAGGTTACAAAATTGCATTTTATTCTTTCCAGAACCGTAGAAAAGAGGGAATTGAAGAAACCTTTGGGGTATTTTAATAGGAGAGCCCCTGTTCTTCCAGTTCATAATAGACACTAAAAATTTTCACCTATAAAGGTTTATTTACCATATTACTTTGTAATATAGCCTACAGCTAAATGCTGCTACTATTGATTTGAGCATTAAGCTCTGGTTTCTTTAATTTGCTGATGTGATACTATGAATGAAAATGATTCCTCCTTTAACAGTGTCTGCTGGCATTAGTCACATGAACAATTTTAAGGAAACTAGCAGTTTTCTATAGTGTACAAATTCTATTCCCTGAGAAGCTACAAAAAGATTTCAGTTAGATTTGAAATTAGACACTTGAAATCCACATATTTCTCTCAGCTCCTTAGGCAAAACTAAGAAGTCAATAACTTAATTCACAGTTGCTTTTTGTTTACTAGCGAGGGATTTGGTGTTCCATTGCACAAATTCTTCACTTTGAAATAAATCATAGTTTCAGTTTGTAATCTAAAAATCTCAATAGTCGTATAGCTTGTTGTGTTGTTGTTGTTAGGTGCCATTGAGTCTGTTCCGACCCTGTGTATGACAGAAAGAAACACTGCGCAGCCCTCCATCCTCACAGTCGTTGCTATGTTTGAGCCCATTGTTGCAGCCATTGTGTCAGTCCATCTCATTGAGGGTCTTCCTATCTTTCGCTAACCCTGTAACCAAGCATGATGTCCTTCTCCAGGGACTGGTCCCTCCTGATAATATGTCCAAAGTACATGAGACAAAGTCTTGACATCCTCAATTCCAAGGAGCATTCTGGCAGTATTTCTTCCAAGATAGACTTGTGCGTTCTTCTGGCAGTCCATGGTATATTCAGCATTCCCAAAACTTGCCATGGCAGTTAACAGCTGAAACACACAGAGATGCAACCTGACTGTATTATTCTGTAACAAAAAGATATATAATGTGAATATATTCTTTTATTGAGAATGGGCCTTACTCATTTTTAAATCTCATTTGATTCATTATACTTCTATTTCCCAGTTGGGCAAGATGAAAATATTTTGTCTCAATCACTTCCTATTTAAGAATATAAGCAGTTTCACTCTTTCTTCCTATGTTCTTGGGAAGATCTCATTGATGTTTTCTGAATTTGACTTCACTTGTCATCTCACTTTAAATGACATATGTGTCCCTTGTTTTGGAAGACTTTAAATTCATTCATGTGTGTCTTCATCACCTTACTTATTAAAATGCAAAAGCGTCAGAACTAATGCCAAGCACAGTGCCAGGCATATAGTAGACATGCAATAAGTATTTATTAAGTGGACAAATATCTTAGACCCACTACTTCTGGGAATTAATTTCTAATATAATAATTTGGTAAGGGGTCATTTTCTTTTTCTCTCTACTATTTTATCCCCCTCAACATGTAAACATGTTCAAAATGAAAAAAAATTAGAAGAAAACTCAAACTTCCTGTCATGGATTGAATTATGTCCCCTAAAAATGTGTGTATCAATTTGGCTGGGCCATGATTCCCAGTATTGTGTGGTTGTCCTCCATTTTGTGATTGTAATTTTATGTTAAAGAGGATTTGGGTGGGATTGTAACACCCTTACTGAGGTCACATCCCTGATCCAATGTAAAGGGAGTTTCCCTGGTGTGCGGCCTACACCACCTTTTATCTTACAAGAGATAAAACGAAAGGGAAGCAAGCAGAGAGTTGGGGGACTTCATACCACGAGGAAAACAGTGCCAGGAGCAGAGCACATCTTTTGGACCTGAGGTTCCTGCACTGAGATGTTCCCAGACCAAAGGAAGACTGATGCAGCACAAGGACCTTCCTCCAGAGCCAACAGAGAAAGCCTTCCCCTAGAGCTGATGCCTTGAATTTGGACTTGTAGCCTACTAGACTGTGAGAGAATACATTTCTCTTTGTTGAAGCCGTCCAATTGTGGTATTTCTGTTACAGCAGCACTAGATGACCAAGACAGAATTTGGCACTGAGAGAGTGAGGGGCTGCTCTAATAGATACCTACATTGTGGAAACAGTTTTGAAACTGTGAATAGATAGAGTGGCAGTGGCAGAGGAC